GGGGCTCTGCGTGGCCTGCATCGCGCCCGAGCTGCACGGTTTGCTGCAGGAGGTGCGGGAGCTGCGCGGGGAGCTGCGGGAGCTCTCCCGCACGCAGCGCCAGAGCAGCCAGCACCTCGAGGCCATCGCGGGCAGCGTGGCGGAGCTGGCGAGCTCCGTTCGCCACCTCCTGGGAGGCCTTTCCCTGTGGTCCCGGGGCCGAGGGCCTCCCCCGTGTCCCCGGGAGCCCCCTCCGGCTCTGGGGCCGTGATGGTGCCTCTTGGCAGTGCTGTGCGCCGGCCCCTGAGCGCGGATCCGTGGGTCAGGAGGATGCCGGGTGACTGTGGCCACTCCAGGCCCCTTGCAAAATGCTGGCTGCAAGTCAAATAAAACAGGGCTGGTTCTCTGGAGCGTCTCTGAGCGTGCACCAAGTGAGGTTTCAGGAATTATCCCCGATTTCAACCACTCTCATACCAGCAGACAACCACTGGAGTCCAGGGAGTCCCCTGGGATGGCGTGAAGACCAAGCAGCGCAGGGTATCCAGCTGGGTTAGGTGTCCTCGGTGTTCCCAGGCTGGGGCAGGACCTGACTTTTGTGCATGCATTGGGGTGGTTTTTAATCTCTTTGGGCTCTTCCACGTGAGGGTATCCCTAGGATTGGCTCCAAGCGCTTTGTCTCTTTATCCAGGTGGATGGCTTCAGTCTTGGTCTTTATCTCTTGTCTTCTTGGTCTGCTACGGCTGGAGTCTGCTCAGTTTTGCTTCCCCCAGGCACTTGTTTTAGCGTGGGACAGGGCTGTACCTTGCTTGTTTTCAGCAGTCTTTCTGTCTGTCTCCTGGGCCCTTAGGGAAGCCCAAGGCTGAGTGTGGCTCTGTAGGGCAGAGCGGTCTCTCGTGTGCAGAGGTGACAAGACTTGCTGGGACAACATTGCATTAAAAGGGCACAAGATGTACCCTTCGGCATTGCCGCTTGTGCCTTGCTGCCTTCAGCCCTAGCCTCACGTTTTGGGGGACCCGTCTCTGCTCCCCCCTGCGCTGCTCCGTAGCCGCACACACGAGTACCCCCTTCCCGAACGCTGCCCTCCCCGTGGGACTCTTCCCGGATCCGCGGCGCCTGCCCAGCTTGCTCAGCAGTTCCTCCTTCCTCCCCGCGTGCTTTCGCTTCCTCTCTGGATGCCCCGGCGCCAGGGCTTGCCCCAACCCTCCCCAGTGGACCCCCAGGCCTTAACTGGGGGGATGGCGAGCCAGGAGCTGGGCGATGCTGGGTCCATGGCCGGCAGGCGTAGGGTGATGCTTGCCCACAGCTGGTGGGCACCTCGTTGCATCCTGCTTGCACCCCTGGTCCCATCTGGGTCCCTATGAGCACACTGGGGACTCCTGGCTCTTCCCAGCCCTGTCCCTGGGCTGTCCCAGCCCTGCCCCTCACTGGGACGGGAGGTTTAAAAGGGTGGCTCTCGGGTGCTCCCCCAAGGCAGCAGGAGACATGGGGTGGCTGGACAGCCTGCGGCTGTGCCTGGGTGAGGGACCGCAGGCCACCAGGGTGGGCAGGGGACAGGGGCAAGATGGGGATGAGGGGGTGCAGAGCTGGGTGTGCAATGGGGTGTTATGGAGCTGGGAGCACAACAGATGGGTACAGGACTTTGTGTGCATGTGGTGGGGTTGCAAAGTTTTGTGTGTGGGGTTATATGGGGAGTACAGAACTTGTTGTGCACATGGGGCCTGTGGAGGTGGGTGCAGAACTGGGTGTGCACATGGGGAGTTTACAAAGTTGCATGTGTGTATGTGCTGGATGGGTTGGAGACCTGCTTGGGAGCATGGGGGCTTACAGGGGTCGTTATGCCCCTGGCTGGGTCACAGAGGTGGGTGCACACATAGCTGGGCATGGAGCTGGGTGTGCAAACCGAGGGGCAGAGCTGGGAGTGCTCACACGAGTGTGCACACGTGGGGGTACAGAGGAGGGTGTGCATGTGGGGGGAACTATAGGGAGTGTGCATGGGGTGTGCATGGGGGGTTGCAGCGGTGTGTGGGCACATGAGGGTACAGAGCTCTATGTGTGTGTGCACGGGGTTGTCAATGCACCTGGGGGAGATTATGCATGAAATCGTCACCGAGAGCGCACGCTGCGGGTGTACAGGGAGGACTGTGTGTGGGTGGGGAGGTTGCTGGGTTTGTGGGGTGTGTTGGGGCGCAGCAGGATTTGTGGTGGGGTGCTGGGTTTGCAGTAGGGTGAGGTGCTGCTGTCTCAGTCCCACTCCCAGATCTTCTCTGTCTTCTTCCAGCTCTGTGCTGCAGCGCTGTCATGGGATCTGGTATGTAGGGGGTCCTCTGGCTTCTCACGCGTGTCCCCAGGGTGCCCCTTGGGTGTCCCTGGAGTCACTGGCTGCAGGATGCAGCAGCTGCTGGGAGATGGGCAAAAACAGGCTGGGGCCAGACCAGGCAGCCTGAGGCTAAACTGGGCAAGCGGGGGCCAAACCGGGTAGACCGGGTTCAAGTTGAGCAGCCTGGGACTGCATGGGGCAGCGTGGGGCTGAGTTGAGCATGTGGAGATGACCAGGGTCTCCCAATGGGCTGGGATGTGTGCCAAGGCCTGGTGCAGCAGGGCTATAGCTTGGACATGTCCCCGTGTCCCTTCTCCAACACAGAGGCTCCCGTGCGGCTGTCAGGCGGCCGCTCGCCCTGCAGTGGACACGTAGAGATCTTCCACGGTGGCCGCTGGGGCACCGTGTGCCGCCGCGGGTGGGACACGGTGGCAGCCCGTGTCCTGTGCCGGCAGCTGGGCTGCGGGCGCCCCTGCCACCTTCCCGTGCAATGCAGCAACTTCGCACCCAGCCTGGAGCCGGTATCGCTGAGCCGGGTGCATTGCACAGGGCACGAGACGGCCCTGGCGCAGTGCATCCTCCAGCCGGAGAATGGGCAACCCTGTGCTCCGGATCAGCTCGCGGGCGTTGAGTGCCATGGTGAGCATGCATGGGGGCTGTGTGGGAGTTCTTTCCAAGCAGGCCCATCCATCGCCTTGACTTGAGGCCCGCTGTCCCCGCAGAACCCTTCCGGCTGAGTGGTGAGTGGGTGGTTTGCCAGGTGCGGGCCCTTTCCCCAGAGTGGATGCGCACCAGGCTGGATCAGCCCGCGCTCATCCTCTCCTCTTTGCAGGACGCCTGAGGACCGCACGTCCGCCTCCAGGGCCATCCCATTCCCGGATGGAATCCCATCCCCATCCGGTCTGCAGCCTCTCCGGGGCAGCCCGCAGTTTGTGGCTCCAGGAAGGATCCTGCACATGGTGGGCTTCCCCAAAGGGAGCCAACGAAGGGAACAGGGACTCCCTGCAACATCTGCACTGCGGTTCCTGCTGGATTCACCCTCCCACCACCATCTCCCCCCCTACCCCTACCGAATCATTAAACTTGGAGTACTCAGCGTTGGTGTGCACGGCTCCTGCACCTGGGGCGTGTGGGCACCCATCCCAACAGGGCAGGATGGGACTCTCCACACCATAGTTCAGTGTGGGGGGCTGTGTCAGGGCCATGTGTCATGGAACGAGTTGGGGGAGAAGGGGTGAGTGACACAATGCACTTCACTCGTGGGTAAGAAATAGCAATAGGTTTAATGATAATGACAATGGTTTCATGAAATTCGATGGCAAGGTCACTTATTTACTGCATGGAGGTTCAAAATACACACAGAATTATCAGGACACCCTCTCGTTGGGTCACGAGGTTCAGATTGGACCCTTTTGCTTTCCAAACTCCTTCTGAGAGGAGTCTGGGTGCGACTGGATCCAATCCTAATCCCAGACCTGGTCAGTGGTTTATGACTAAGGGATTTGTGCACAGTTACAAGGTAAAGTTTACAAGTTCAGAAAGAGAAGCGTGCTATAGTCACTTACCATGAATCTGTAGTGGGAAGGATCTCTCAATGCTGAGGAGTATCCTTGAGAGATATCCCTGCTCAAGGGGAGATCCTGCTGTGCAGCCTGCTGTGATGCAAGGAGAGCTCAATGGGCTCTTGGGCTGTCCCCATATTTGTGGGATAAGGTGATTGACTTACAGTCATTCTTTCAATCCAGAAATGACTGTTGGCCTGTGTACTCGCAATTAGACTTATCCCCCCCCATCAGGATGCAGCCATCAGGGCTGTTGATGGTTGATGTCTGAGTAGGGGAAGAAATCAAGGAGGCAACTACCAGGATCAGATAATGTGGTAGTTAACACCTGAATAGGCCTATGTGTGAGGAGTCAGGTTGAGCTGGGGATGGAGCACATCCATCCTCAGTGCTGGGCCTGAGCTGCACCCAGGGCTGAGTCGTGTCTTGGACTGTGCCTTGCTCCAGGTCTTGTCATACCATGGTTGTGCTGTGCCCTGGGCTGTGCTATCCGTGCCCTGGGCTGTGCTCTCCATGCCCTGGTCATGCCATGCCCAGAGTTGGGCCATGTCCTCAGCTACTCCATGCCCGGAGCTGTGCTATGCCCAGGGCAGTGCCATGTCCTGGGCTGTGCAGGGTCAGCATCATGCCCTGGTCTGGGTCAAATGGGCTCTGTGCCATCCTACGTTGTCACATGCTGGGGCTCTGCTTTGACCAGGCCTGCGCCATGCTCCACACCTTGCAATTGCCAGGACTGTGCCATGCTGGTGCCACAATGACCCATTGCTGTGCCGTATTTTGGACTGTGCCACACAGGGCCTGTGCTCCAGGCTTTGCCTTGCCCAGGATGATGCCAAGCTGATGCTGTGACACCTTAGGACCCTGACAGTGGAGCAGGGCTGTGCTGTGCCCACTTCTGTGCCACATCCTAGGATGCAATGTGCAACATGAGTGCTGTGCCCGGGGCTATGCTCTGCCCTGGGACGTGTTTGTCGTGCAGGCTCTGTGCCGTGCCAGGTCCTGCAGCAGATCTGGGTGCTGTGCGGAGGCTGCAGTGGGTTCAGCGCAGGAGAGTCATAGAATCATAGAATGCCTAAGGTTGGAAGGGAACTTTAGGGATCATCCAGTCCAGGCCCCTGCACACGCAGGGTCACCCAGAGCACGTGGCAGAGGACTGTATCCAAGTGGGTTTGGAAGATCTCCAGAAAAGGGGACTCCAGAACCTCTCTGGTTCCTCTAGTTCTGCCGGTGGCCACCAGTGAAAAGAGGCCAGCCCCATCCTCCTCACTGCCTCCCTTGAGGTACTTCTAGACACTGCTCAGGTCCCCTCTCAGCCTTCTCTTCTCCAGCTGAACAGGCCCAGCTCCCTCAGCCTCTCCTCACAGGGCAGATGTTCCAGGCCCCTCATCATCCTCGTAGCCCTGCGCTGGCCTCTCTCCAGCAGCTCCACATCCCTCTTGTCCTGCGGGAGTCGGCGGTGCCGGAGCAGGTGGGATGCCGGCCGATCCAGGCAGCCCAGGTGCGGAGCAGAGCCAGGGCCTGGCGCCCGTCCCGGCTCCTCCTCCGCGCTGCTCCCCGAGCCCATTATGAAACAGCCCATGAGCACTAATCCCTGCCAGGCCCTGGCCCTGCCACCTGTCCCCAGCTCCTGAGCGGATGGGGCTGCTGAGGGGGCCTCAGCTTGCAGCTCTGCCCTCCAGCTCCCTGCCCATAGGGCATGGGCAGGGGACAGGCTCCAGCCATGGGGCAGGCATGGGCACAAGGTGGGGAAGTCAGGGGACAGGACAGCGTGGAGGGCACTGTGCCATGGGGGGTGGGAACAGGGCTTGTAGGGGGACTGGAGGGTCTGGGGGGTACCAGGGCCATGCTGGGACAGGGTGTGGGTCATTGGGGTCCGTGGGTGCAGAGACCAGCAGTTCAGGAGGGATCAAGACTAGGAGTGGGAGGGAGAAGTGCACAGGATAGTGGTGGCAATGGGTGCAGAGGGCAGGGTTGCAGGGGGGGACCAGAACTGTAGAAGAGAGGAGCACGGGGTGTAGAGGAAGAGAGGTTTGGGGGCCACATCCCCTCCATGATGTGTCTGAAGGGCAACAACGCTAGGGAAGGGGCTGGAGCACAGACCATACGAGGAGAGGCTGAGGGAACCAGGGTTGTTTAGTGTGGAGAAGAGGAGGCTCTGGGGAGACCGTATCACTCCCTACATCTACCTGAAAGGAGGTTATGGTGAGAGGGGGGACAATCTCTTCTCCAGAATAACTGCTGATAGGACAAGAGGAAATGGCCTAAAGTTATGCAAGGGGAGGTTCAGGTTAGATACTAGGAAAACTTTCTACATGTGAGGAGTGGTGAAGCATTGGAACAGGCTGCCCAGGGTAGTGGTGGAGTGACTGTTCCTGGCAGTGTAGGTGAGGCACTTGGGGACACGGTTTAGCAGGTTATGTTGTTGAAGGAGCAGGATTATACTCGATGATGTTGAAGGTCTTTTCCAACCGTGATGATTCTATAACGACAGAAGGGACAGGAGGCAGTAAAGGAGAGCGCAGTGGGGGAAGAGCACGAAGCAGAACAGCCCTGGCCCCTCTGCTGTGCGGGGCAGGACAGCGCCCGGGCTCTCCTGCAGCCCGGGCGGCCGCGGTGTCACACACGTCACCTGGCCCAGCTGCCCGCGGGCTATTTCCAGCGCCCCCGCACCTGTTTGTACCTCCACCCCCGGCCACCCCCGCGGCCCGGCCGCTGGGCTCCCTCCCACGCTCCGGGGACGCGCGCCAGCAAAGGCCACTGCCCCGTCCCCGGGGGACAGGCGCCTACATCCTCCGCGTGCCACCAGGGTCACGGACGTGCCCTCGGGGCTGCTGTCGGCAGGACCGCGGGCATGCGGGCAGCCAGAGCCGGGGGCAGCCTCAAGCCCTGGGTATGCAGGAGGGTGACGTGGTCGGAGCGGGGCATGATGCTGACCCCAAGGATGCAGCGCTGCGGGGGTCCGGGAAGTGTGTCTGCCTGGCTCTGTGTCCCCCTGCTATCCATCTCCGCTCCCGAGTAAACAGGCGGAGAAGGGCAACATGAGGAAGTCTTTAGGACGCGGCTGCATGACCTTTCCCGGCTGGCTGCAGGCCAAGCGGTCCCGCTAATGTGCTGTCAAGTATTAATTACCTTCCAGCAGGCTGGGGTCAGGGCAGCTCTGAGCAGCTGGGATGGGGTGAAAGAGCAGCTGGGGAGAGAGCAGTGGGAGCAATAACAACCGCAGAGCTGACACGAGGGGACAGGGAGGGATACGGCCTGGAAAACTGGGGGAAAAGGGAGGGATATGGCCTGGGAAACTGGTGGAGCAATGGGCACTGTCCCAGGAGCTCAGGGAGAGGGAAGCATCTGACCTGGGAATGGGGGGAAAAGGGAGGAATATGGCCTGGGAACTGACGGAGAGGGAGAGGTACCGCCTGGGATCTGGTGGGGCAAGGGGCTGGCACAGCACTAGGGTACAAGGAGAAGGATGAGCAGGATGCCCCATTGCACATTCTGTTCCAACCTGGTGCGGGAGGTGATGACCACCCCTTGCTACATCTACCCCATCACTGCATCCTCCTCCAGCAGGGCCTGGGGATGCGGCTGTGCTGGGGTCTGGTAGGGCAGGAGAGGCCCCACCACCTCCTGCCCCAGTGACAGCCAACACATTTCAAAGTGGGACTGGTTCCTTGGCAGGACAACGTATGCGTGTGCCGCCAGGCGGGCTTTGTCGGCCTCATCCCAAAATAGACCCCAGGAAATCTCCCCACAGAGATGCCCAGATGTGAGTCAGACCAAGGCTCTGTGGGTTCACACGGCAGGGTTGGTGGGGCTGGGAGCTCCGGAGACACAAGCAGAGAGGGGACAACATGGGGACAACTGACTGATCCCTTGGGGCACGTTGCCCCCCTCCCTCACATGCACTGCATGAGACTGGAACACCATGATCCTGAGATCACTATGAGCAAGGAAAAGACTTGACCCTGTCACATCTGTCCTCCCCACAGCAGTGATCCCAGCCCCACACCCCCATGGATTCCTTGCCCTACATGGCAATAGGATATCAGACAAAACTCAAGAGGGACCAGTGTGAAATGCGTCATGGTGTGAGACCAAGTCATTGTCCCCACCTTACGGCTCACCTTGCAGAGCAGACTTGGAGAAGGGAAACTGAGGCACGCAGAGGGATGGCCATATACTGCTGCGTTCTCACAGCCCTGGCCAGCCCCTCACCCTGTGGGTTGTGGTGTTGCTGGTTTGTGGGTTGTACAGGTCCTTGTAGGGCTCTTGCAAGGGAAGACTTATGGGGTGCAATTGCAGTTGGGCTGGGGAGGGTGGCCCTGGAAGGTGCCTTATGGCTGTGGTATCGTTGGGGCTGGTGATGAGCTGTAGCACTTGGTGTATGATGTGCTGTGACATTTCCAGCGCTGTGCTGTGGCTGGGCAGCGTCGTGGCATCGACGGTCACCCGCACTGCCCAAAACGGGCTGTGCATTGCAGTGGTGCCCCCAGTGCATTGCATCGACAGCTCCACGTGTGCACTAGCTGCCTAGCTCCATGTGTCTGTCCACGAGCGCTGCGTGCTCGCAGCCACCCCACAGCATGGTGCATGACCCAGCAGGGGTTGAACCGCGAGTAGAAGCAAGCCGCAGCTCCTGCAAAACAGCTGTGGCTCCAGGGCACCGCGTGCTGAGCCTATATTTAAAAGCTGGGTGCTGCAGCTGGGGATGGCACAGGCAGCAGGGCACAGTGCCAGGCATGGGCATGGCCCTGGAAAAGTGCAGCAGCCTCTCACGTAAGGGGTACGGGGTGGCCGTGGGGCAGATGGGCTGCAGGTGACAGAGCCAAGAAAGGCACAGCCCGAGCCATTCCGAAAGCAGCAGGCCCAGTGCCCCACGCAGGGAAGGAGGCCCAGGATGCCTCGTCCTGGCAGGGCTAGGGCTGCATGTCTGTCTGTCTGTCCCTTGCGCTCAGTGACCAAATGTCTGTCTGTCCCTGTTGGACGTGCTCTGTGCTTTCTGTCTGTCCATCTGCCCATCCAAGCAGCACTGCGCATTGGCTCTCCATCCCATGCATGCCTGTCTGCACAAGCTGTACTCTGGACTGTCCATCCATCCATCCAGCCATCCATCCCAGTTTTGCTCCTCTGTCTGCCCCTGCCTGGTTCTGGGCTCTCCATCCCTCGTCCCCCTGTGCCATGCTCCATGCTGGGTGTCTGTCTGTCCTTTCTCGCAGTGCTCTCTGTCCATCTGCCTGCTGCACAGCGCTGTTTCCCCATGCCATGCCCCGGGCCATCTCCCTGTCTTCACGTGCCATGGTCTGCTGCACGGTGCCCATGTCCTGCTCCAGCCTGTCCGTCTGTCTGCACACACGGTGCTCTGTTTAGTCCCCCGTGCTGTGCTCTGCACTGTCCGTCTGTCCTGGCACAGCACTCCGTGCTGTCCGTCTCCCCGTGCCCTTTCGCACGCCGACACCAGGCTCCTAGGCCATGCTCCGTGCTGCGCGTCCATCTGGTCGTGCTGGCTGTCCCTGCCAAGACGGGGGCTGGCGGGGTGGCCTATGCATCCCCCGGCCATCCTGCACGGCCCAGGCGATGCCGGGGACTGTCCAGCGCCTGCCTCCTGCCTATGTTTGGAAGTCGGCATGAATCGCGCCTGACACATGTTCCCTGCGAGCGAGCGGGAGATTAGCGCAGGCCGGCGCTGCCCTGGGGACGGAGGCCACGGAGAGCGCAGGAAAGTCTGAGTCACAGCTCGGAGCGCCCAGGGAGGCTGTGGGGGGTCAGGGGCACCGAACCGGGCCCTGCGCACACCTGGTTTTGCCGGCGGCACTGGGGCACGGCGAGCTCCCGCGCGGGGACGCAGGTGAGGCTGCAGCTCTCCCGACTGCCCGGCTGCTTGGCTGTCCCCGTGCACCCCTGTATCCCTGCTGCAATGCCTGCCCGGCCACGTGTGCTGCCGATCTGGGCACCCCTGGATGCTCCCCAGCCTTTTGCTTGCGGCTTTTAGGCACGGCGGAGCCCTCTCTGCTCAGCCCCCCAGCACTTTGCAGGGGGGACGGGCTGCAGCGTCGGTGCTCCGTGGTGGCCCGTGGGTCCAGCGGGCACTGGTGGTGCTGGCCATGTGTGTCTGGAGGAGCCGATGCCGGCGGTGACGCTGCTGTGGCTGTGCTGGTGCAGGTGGCTGCAGCTGGCAGCGCGGCGGAAGGGGCCTGGGTCCTGTTTCACGGCTGGGGATGGAGGCGCAAAGAGCTGGGATATGGAACCAGCTCTGGAGACGCGAGGTGGGACAGAGCAACCCCCCAACCCATGCCATGCGGGATGCTGAGTGGGACAGAGCCAGGCCTGACCCCTGCTATTGGACAAGGTGGGGTGGGACAGCGTGAGCTGGGACCTCTGTGTGCTGGGATGCACTGGGAGAGACCGGGATGGGCTGGGAGGGACTGGGATGGTTGAGACTGGTCTGGACGAGGCTGGATTGAAATGGGCTGGTTGGATTGGGCTAGGTCGGACTGGGCTGGCCTAGGCTGGGGTCTCTGTGCAGGGTCCGTTGTTATCCCTCGAGAATGTCCTGCAGCTTGGGAGTGGAGCAGACAGCTGCCTCTTTAGACCTGAGTGGGGCTAAGATCCCTGAAGTGGCCCTGAGGGGCGGCCAGGAATCTGATCATTTGCTTGGGCAGTCGCAGGGTGCATGGATTCATCAGAAGAGGACGGGGAGGAAAACGAGGCCTTCCTGGAGTGGCTGATGACCCGGACAGGACAGAAGCTGCCGCTGCGGGAGCTGGAGGAGCAGTACGAGGTGCTGGAGGAGCTGGGCAGCGGGACCTACGGCCGCGTGGTGCTCACGGAGCCCCGGGATGGAGGTGAGCGGCTCTGGGGAGCAGGGGGAACCTGCTGTTGGGGGATCTGTATCCAGCTGTGTCCATGTCCAGCCCCAACCGTGCCTGCACCCCAAACGAGCCAGCCCTGCAGGTGCCAAGCCCCATCTTTGCCCGGCAATATTTGTGTCCAGCCTGCCCGTTCCAGCATATCCATCCCCATCTCTGCCCAACCCCTTCAGAACCAGATCCTGTGTGTGACAGATCCTGCTCTCACCAGTGCCCAGTGCTTCCCATGCTGACCCAACCCCAGCTCTGCTCCATCTCCTCCTTTCTATCCTGATGGAGCTGCTGGCTTCCTTGTCCAGGCTCACCAGTGGTTCTCAAGCTGATGGCAAAGGAACAGACGGACCGTCGGACATTCCTGCGGGAATACTGCATCACTTTGTGCCTCTCAAGCCACGACGCTTGCATCCGTGCGCTGCCCATTGCCTTTGAGAGTGCCACACACTTCGCCTTTGGGCAAGAACTTGCTCCTGCTGGGGACCTGTGTGACCTCCTCAACCCAGGGGTATGTGTTGCTGTGGGGTTCTGCTGTGGATCTAGGATATGGAGAGTCAGTCAAAGGTTCAGAAAAGGGATGAGAGCCATGAAGTGTGGGGATATGCAGCAGGGTGTGAGGAAGGGGTGCAGGGACAGCTTTGCAGAGAGGGCAGTGACAATGTGTGAGCAAAGAAATCCTTGTAGCTGGGTGTGCTCTCAGCGAAAGTGTGTCTGCATGTGCATGCCTCGTGCATGCCTCTGTAGGTTATGAAACTTGCAGTGGGTGGAATGATGCTATTGGGGACACCTTTTGCACTGGGGTGCGTGTTCACTCATGTGGGGAGATCCTTTGCACCGGGTTGCACACTGATTCTGTGGGGAGACCTTTTGCAGCAGGTACATGATTACACCGTGCGTGGGGAGGGCTGTTGCAGCAGTGCACACCCACAGTGTGTTTGGGGATACTCTTTGCGCAACTGTTAGATAAAGAAGGTGCAGGAGATGCTAGCCAGGGCGTTGGGAGCAATATCAGTGTGGGATAGCTCTGTTGTGTGGTGGCATCAAGGCAAGAGTATTGGTACCATGGGGAGGAGTCTTAGGAGCAATGTGGACAGCAGAGCTGCTCTGAAGCTGGTTGCCCAGGGTCATCTGTGCATCAGATGACAGTGACCCTCTTCCATGCAGGAGGGCCTTCCAGAGGTGCTGGTGAAGCGCTGTGCGTCCCAGGTGGCCGAGGCTCTGGATTTCATGCACAGCCGGGCCCTGGTGCACCGGGACGTGAAACTGGACAACGTGCTGCTCTTCGACAGCGAGTGCCGGCGGGTGAAGCTGGGTGACTTCGGGCTCACGCGCCTGCAGGGCTCTGCCGTGTGTGCCATGACCAACACGCTGCCCTACGCCGCTCCGGAGCTCTGCCTGCTGCAGGGCTCCGACACGCTGGAGCTGGACTCCAGCCTGGATGTGTGGGCTTTTGCCGTGCTGCTCTTCTGCCTCTGCACGGGCTGCTTCCCCTGGGCTGCAGCTCTCAGCTCTGACCCGCAGTTCGAGGACTTCAGCACTTGGCAGGGCAGTTCGGTGGGACGGGGGGTGCCGTCATCCTGGCAGACCTTCGGCTCTGGGGCTCAAGAGATGTTCCGCCGCCTGCTCACGCTTGACCCTGACCGCCGGAGCCCGGCCATCGAGGTGCAGAAATACCTGTCACTGACGTGGGTGATGGCCCAGAGCCAGGGTTCGGAGAGCGCCGGGGCTCAGCCTGCAAACCGTGATGGACAGGAACCAGCACTGAGCAGTTCCCAGTCCCCTCTTGCCCATTGCTCACCCAGCAGCCAGCCCAGTGCCCGGGAGGGATTTGGGGCTGATCTGGGAGGACAGGAGGCTGCCAGCAGGAGGGAGCAGGTCCACAGCGGCCAGAGTGCAGGGAATGGGGTTCCCACAAGCCCTGCTAGCACTCTGGCCCTGTGCCACTAGCCAGCGTCTCCCTTCCTCCCCCAGGCTGCCTGCAAGTGCTTCCTGAGAAGGGAGAGAGCACGAGGAACGGGACAAGGGGAGACTCGCAGGATAAGGGCACGTGGGCGGCAAGGCAGGCTAGAAATGTGCTACAAACATAGGAAGGAGAAGCACTGCCTAGATGAGCCTCTGGAGGGGCTCAGGGATTCTAACCTCCTGGCTCTGACCTCTCATCCTGAAGATGAATGATAGTGATGACCAGAAACAAAACTCCGCCTGAGCAACATGTGCTGGTAAAGCTCAGAATGCAAAAGGTTGACAAAGGTTCCCCAAGGCAAAACAGTCATCAGGGCAATGAATACTTAAAGGAAAGCAATTAATTAGAAAACAGGCACATTAAGACTGAGATAAGATCTTCATAATGTGGATATTAAAACTGCTCAGTAACTCACAAAGATATTTAGAATTATGTCTAACCTGAACTCCCTTCCTGCATCTCATATGCAAGGAAGTTGTTATCATTATACTGGCTGCTGTAATTAAGGAAGACTTGTTTGGGGTTAATGAAAGGAAGAAATAAGTACTTACCCTCGAGGCATAGGCTTGGTGGTTCTCTAGTACTGAAGGGCAGACTGGATAAACCTGGGATTGAGCTCTGCCTAAGCAGTGTAAGGACCTGCAGTAGGAGCAACTACAAGTGGGGAAGGACCAGTCAGAGGTGATTCTGTACGCACACATACACACAAAACAAAATAGAACAATAGCAAAAAAGCAACAAAACAACAACAACAGAAACTTCTAGAGCACACTGGCCTGCATGTGGGTCAGTAATGTTTTACGTTATTGTGAACGTGAATGGAGACAGGAAGAGAAAATTGAGGTGGTTCTGGGTATGGAGGAGACAGAGGGTAAACAAGAAAATAGATATCAGAGACTGAAAAGGCTGCAAGCACTTTCCATCTCCAGTGGGACTGTACCTAGATATCTTAAGTGATGAGACTAGCTGGGCAGTTTGCATTAAGATGGTTTTTCTGGGGCAAGTTCCTAGTTTAGGAGTTGGACAAACTCTTGCCAAAACACACTGGACTTTTGGGGAGGGCAGCAGGACCGGGTGACCTTAAGCTCCTTGCTGGCTTTCACAACGAGATTGCTTGCGCCCAGGGCTGGACGGACCTGTGAACCAGCACCCCACTGTCCTGCAAATGCTTGGAAATGGCAAACAGTGAAGTCCAAGTTATTATCTACCTCGGGCAAAAGCGGGAAATAATGACAGATGCTTTCCAGACATTGAAACCTATAGAACTTGGGAAGGGATATTTTCACCCTGCAGTCTGCCCCATCCCGGCAGGGGCAAGCATTGGCACCCAACCTTGAACTAATGCTCTGTGCAAGCAAAACTCTGCCTGTGTCCTGCTGTGCACCAATTTGGGCTCCCCTGTGCTTCCCCAAGCAGTTTGCACCTCTGGGCTCCCAGAACTTCAGCAGGTCTCCCCTTCGCATCCACAGGTACTGTGCCTGGAGAGCACATCCCTCTATCTGTCTGCAAAGGTCCCAAAAAGGCAGGGAGATGCTGCCCTCTACCATAAACAGGCCTCATCCATCTCTTGCAAAGCAGAAGCAGAGGTGGAAATTAGCCAAGATGCTGAAGCTTAATAAAGTTCTCTGCAGATTTGTCTTTTTGTAACCTCATCCCATCTGTGCTGTCATATGAGCCTGCTGTTCTAGCCCTATCCCCTAGCTTGAGAAGGTACAAAGCTTGCAGAGAAAGGTATTTAAACGATCTTGTCATCGTCTCTTCATACTGCCAATCCTCACGGCCCCCTGCACATGCGCTTTCCTGCAGACAGAGCAAAGGGTAAGACCGGGAAGGGCTTTAGTCCGGCTCACACAACACAGTCCATGGAATAGGAACCAAAAGAGATTGCAATCCTGGGACACCATCCTTGAGAGGAGGGAGGAAGGAAGGGGACAAGCAGAGGGCATGGACTGTGGCTGAGGTTGCTGGCAGTCAGGAGGCATTCTGATTGTCTGAATTATACGCGGTATTTTTTAATCTTTAGCTGCATCAAGTTGATTCTGAAAAAATCACAGTGCAGGAGCCGAAGGGCTCTGCACCCAGAAGCTGTTTTGCTGACCTGGCTGGCATTGCACACCGCCTCCAAAGGTGACAAATGCCATGCTCCTCAGATAACACGCAAAAGCTGGAGAAACGGCTTTGATTGCTGTGGGGTAAATGCAGCAAGTCATTTCTTCATGAAGATTATTCTTCTTTGGGCTCACGTTCACACAGACAACTAGAAAGTCCCTTCAGTAGATCAGTATTAGTGGTACGAAATTCTTATATGAGTCACTTGTTGCTAGTATGAATTATCTAATGCATTAATTCATTTAAAGAAAGCACAGCAGGCGCTGTGCCAGAGAGGCTGCACTGTAAACTATATGAATGATTCTTTCCCAGGAAAACTTCTGTCACTCTGGGCTCCTCTTCAAATGAAAACACAGGGCCGCTCGGGAAGAATTCAGCTACTTGTTGCAGGAACCCCTGTGAAATGACTGTCTCTTCCCCTCTGGTACAGCGAGCTCCTGGATGCCTCCAGGCAGTTTGGACGTCTAGAGTTTCAGCAGTGAAATCCTAGCGCAGCACGCGACTCCTGGCTCGATGCACAAGCTGCCAGGGCTGGAACGTGGCCCCGTGCACCCGCCTGGCCCGTGGCTCCCAACTCGCTGCGGGGCACTGCAGGACTGAGGCTGGAGCTTGGTGCTTAACCTGCACCCTGCTCTCCCTTAGAACTGCAAACCATCCCCACTAATTGCACCCCTCATCCACTCCCCCACCGCGGCAGCTATAACTGTATTACGAAGTGAAACCATCTCCCCTGGGAGCAACCTGAACCCTTCCAGTCCCCGGGTCAGGTTGGATGCATCCAGGCTGCCTACTGGGAAAAGTGTCTCAGTTACAGAACATGCCCAGGAATTGCTTGTGGCTGCAAGCAAAAGGAGACAAAATGCGATGCTGCACATTGGTGATTTGTCAGTCAAGCAAAACTGTGCATGGGGAGCCGCAGGGCTGTACGTGCTTTTCTCTTTCAAGGCTGTATGTGCTTTTCTTTTTGGCCTATTCGCATTAAGTGCCTGATCCTTGGCCTTTGGGCTGCCCATCCCTAGAGGCATGAACCCCCCTGCACTGGTTTTGCCTGATCCCTCTTGTTTGTGCATTTACTGCCACATGCAGACCCTTTGCAAGCAGGATGTGCTTTGCACACACAGCAGTTGTGCATATGTTAATGCATGCAGAAGATTTCTTTAGTTCTAGAGCTTTCCAAAAGTTCATGACAGCTGTTTCAGTAAAGTTCATCAGACTGACCCAGCTGTTCTGCACAGGAGCATGTTTGGTTGCAGCCAGCTGTACTGGAATGGATTGGATTTCACAGATGTTAAGGGGGAGTCTTATAAGAGACAGCCAAGCTTCACAGATAATTTGAGGAGAGTGTTGGGCACATTTTGTGGAGTGCAATCTTGCAATAAGAACAATACGTTGGGAGTCATATCAGTTATGAGGTGAAACAGCTGGAACAGCAAGTGGGAACAGCAGCATTTGCCTCTGTGACAATAGGATAGGAGAAAACTCCTGGGTATCAAAGTTCAATAGATTTGGCTACTCCTTAACACACACCAGGTAAATGCTCCCATCTCCAAACTCTATTATCATGATAAAGGGGAAATTGCAACTCCAGGGGATGCAGTGCTAAACTAGGGGTCAGTGGCTGGCAAAAGAGCGCACTAAGATGTGCAAATGTGTTACAGTCAGCGTATTCAAATGGACACATTAAGAGCAAATGCAAGGACCCCTGTTCAGTTGTCCTGGAGGTAACAGTGTCTGATGGTTGCAGAGGCATGAAGAGAAGCAATGTCATTCCATTTCATTCCTCCTTCTCATATGAGACTGTCAAGAAGCCAGTTTGCATGCGACAAGTTGGAGGACTTCTGAGGTTCAATTTACTCTGTCAAAGAGGGCTTTGCACAGGCTGCCCCACTCAGTGTGACAGGCCAAGGTACAGGGCTTGGGCACAGGACCAAGCCGAGTGCCAGGTCTGCATCTCCTCTGAGCATGAATGTCGCCACTTGCACTGGCTTTCCACTAATGTGAGGTCACTGTTTTCACGTGTAGGTCTTGATTTACACTGTGTTTTTGTGGACTGCGGCACGTCCTGCTGGAACGCTCCTATTCACTTAAGACGCACGATTACGCTCACTTCCTCTTTTAGGAAGAACACGAAGAAACCTCTGGTTGAAAAAAAAAAGAAAAAGAAAAGACAGCAATACATCTGCAGAGGACACCAACATCGTTCAAGCTTGGGCCTGAGGCTGAGAGTGGCTGCAAGGATTGCTATAGAAATATTTTCCCTGCAGACGTTCTTGGCAGTGTTTCATGAGAGGCAATGATTGTTTGAAGACAGACAGCTGGATGCAAGCTGCGTCACGGTTTGTCTCTCTCATAGAAGTTACTGGGGTCGAGGACGTGTTATTTTCCATGTCCAACTTTATGCGGATTGCACAAAGGATACTGAGACAGCATTACACGGCAATAAAAATTAACAAGGTCCATATTGTATATATCAACTCTGATGTTGAAAGCTATTTGAGGCAGAAAGTTAAAAATAAGGAAAAAAAAAAAGAAGAAAAGAAAAAAGGGAAAGGCAAAAAACTCCCCAATGGATGTCTGGAAAGAAAGAGCAGGGACTGATGCCAGACAAGTAGTCTTGCTTGTGGGTTCTCTCCAAT